TTCGAGTTTATTTCGGCAAAGCGCCAGTAACAGTCTTTTCGGATCATGCGGCTGTTGGTAGACTTTACTCGGGAAAAACCTAACGCCCAGGTTAATAAGATGGGCTTTAAAACTCCAAGAATATAATCTAATAATCAAATATAAACCGGGTAAGGAAAACAATGTAGCTGACGCACTTTCTCGTATAAAACTGGACGATGAAGGCAATGAACTTAAATGCGCTGTGTTGACTTAAAAATTTTAGATTCTAGAGATACAATTATTGCTGAATTGAAAGCTGATCCAGAATTTGGAAGTATCTATGCGTATTTGAAAGACCCCGAAAGCTTTGAGCACACAGATATCGATGCGATAAGAAATAGAGCAGAAAACTATGAAATAATAGATAATTTATTATTTTATACGAAAACAACAAACGAAAATCTGAGTACAAACCAGTCATCCCAGCCTCGCTTCGATTAAGCATTTTGAAGGAATTACACGACGCGAAAAACAGCGGGTCATTTAGGGGTCAGAAAGACTTTAAAAAGGGTACGCGAGGCGGTATATTTCCCGCAATTATACAAAATAGTAACTGCGTATGTCAGGTCCTGCAATCAATGTCAGTTAATAAATGATATTAATTACAGCCCGGCCGGGTACTTAAATAGCATTCGCGCTACATTTCCGAATGAAATTTTAGGCATAGATCTTCTTGGTCCCTTTCCCCAGAGTGAGTTAAATAAAAATCGTTTTCTTTTAGTAATTGTAGATCATTTTTCAAATGGACAGAAATTGTTCCACTTAAACGCGCGTCAGCCAAAACAGTCGCAGATGCATTCTTACACAGATACATTTTAAAATACGGTGCACCGATAAAAGTCATTAGCGATAACGGTAAACAATTCGTTAGCCAAATATTTGAAAACATTTGCACTGGACTTGGCATACGCCATATTAAAACGGTTCCGTATAGACCACAGGCAAACATCGCAGAAAGAGTTAATAAAAATATTGTAAAAATAATTCGAAGTTATGTTAGCACACATCACAAGCGCTGGGATGGCTACATAAATGAGTTAGCTTATGCTTTAAGAACAGCAAATCACGATACTACGGGAAAAACTCCAGCAGAATTATTTTTAGGACGGAAGTTAATTACGCCACTAGATAAATTATTCTTTGTGCAACAAAGAGAGCAAGAATTCAAAGAAAAAGATGTGCAAAAACTCATTGATCAGGCGGTTAAAAGCTCGGATACGGCAAGAAATAGACAGAAATTGTACTATGATAGAAAACGCCGTGAAGCAGATTTTAAAGTTGGGGATAAAGTGCTGAAGCGGAAATTTTCTTTATCAAGTGCCCCAGGCAATTTTACTGCAAAGTTAGCTCCAAAATTTGACGGCCCCTATGTAATTCAGGAAATCAAAGGAGTCGTATTGTACCTTAAGAGCGAGAGAGGGAAAATCTGGAAAGCAAGTCCCGACCAGGTGAAAAAATATTATAATCAAAATGATTTTGAAATCCTTAAAAGTTTCTTGCAGGACTCAAGCGTAAAAGAAGTAGAAGGTCCCAAATAACGTCAACCCGTTCCACCACCCAAGAAGCAGAGAACTGAAGAGAGACCTAGCCCTTCTACAACCCATGCGACGGTACCGAAAAGAAAAAACGAAAATTTTCAGACTCCAGCATTTAAGAAAACAAGAAATGCAAAGCCGCCGCGTAAAGAAACCTTGGTAAAGAGGAAAACACCACCTACAACGTATCGCAGTAGAAATTATACATCAAGGAGAACGCTCCCAGGGCCAGAGAGTTAAGTGCAAACAAGGCCGCCGTTCCAGAAACTAAAAAGACAGCAAGAGGAACGAAAAGACCAGCAACAACAGAAGAAATTCAAGAAGGACTCCAGACCAGAGGACCTCAAGACCAGCCGTCCAAGGGAAAAACGAAAAAGACAGCAACCCGACGACTACGACGCCAAGAGGCCAGCATGCAGAGGACGCAAAAGAAAAACTAATGTGGACGACACTCGGAGGTCAGTAAGGAGAAGATTGACGTCCATGAAACCTATAACGTGGGAACAGTTCTGCCAGAAAAGAATGACGGAGTTTCAATCATCGAAAACTCAAAGATAAGTTAAAATCTTCTATAAATTTTTTCTTTTGTTCCGAAATGTTATGCGTAAGTACGAAGTTCTATGTTTTGACGAAAGTCAATATGTCTCGGTTGAGATTTAGTTTTATTTTACTTTATTTAGCTAAGGCAAAAGTATTATTTTCTTTAAGTATAAAATCTAAGAACAAGCAGTTTTTCTGTTGGTCGAAAGACTAATTCTAATTCTGTTATGTTAAAGCCAAAATTTGGCCGAAGATAAAAATAACTTCGTATTCTTGTATTAATAAAAACTTTAGTTTCAGTGCCGCCAGCTTGGCGAAGAATGAGTAAAGTAAAAATTTATTTTCTCTTATTCATTTTATGGTAAATTGTAAAAATCATATGTCTTAGAATTTTGTAAATATACGTAAATACTTGAATGTTATGTAAAAGTAGAATTTAGTCTAGAAGCATAAAATTTTAGATGCTAAAAGTAAATGCTCAAAAGCAATGAATTCAAAATTTAAGTATTAAACTGTAGATAAAATCATGCTTTAGAGCGAAAGCCTGCATGTCTAAAGATGAATGAGGGGGAAGTTAGAATGAATGTGTTTTGTAGGGTTCTCCACCTACACTTGAATTTTAAGAATGTTAAAAGTAGCTCATCGAGTTGTAGAATGTCGAGTAAGGTGTGTCTATTTGGTCGTTGAATTCTAACAAATCATTGTGGTTAGGGGAAGTGTTGTAATACTAAATCACGAATATTCCCGTTTGACACCACACATGGTGGAGAGCCAGGGTAAAGTTAAATTAATGTTTGAATACTTGAATGAATGTGAATGTAAGAAGTAAGGAAAATAAAATCGTTTAAAAAACAAAATTTATTCAGTGTCAAGAAAGTGTAAATTATAATGTATTTAGAAAGATACTGATACTTATTCCTTCCAGATGCTGGAAGGAAAAGAACAAGATTGATTGCTGAAGTCCAGGAAAGTTGCTGTAAGAAGAGAGATTTAAATAAGTATCTACAGAAATTTAGTATACCTTTTGTTACATAAGATTTTTTTGTGTAAACGAGGCTCTTAAAGTTAGTTCAGAATTGTAGAAACTTTACAACAGGTCGTTTGTAGGACCTGCTTCCAAGTTTTTCCAAATTCTGGCAGCGGCAAATGTAGGGTTTATATTTATTTTAACTAACATTTATTTTAAGTTTAAACTATCTTTCCTGTCAAGCCTTACTTTCCCCTGGAACTGCCAATGCCAGAGTATGTAAATTTTAGTAGAACGCGCAAGGATTCAAATTATCAGCGGAAGTATTCTGAGTTAAATAGAAAGGAAACGAGTTCGAGATGTGCTGTTCTTACTTCACGCGTTTCGGCCTGTGTGCTTGTCTCGGCCAATTGTTAATCGTTCAACGTGATATTCAAAGTTTGCTGAATTAGCAGCGGTATTGTAAAACGCGGTGAGGTTAGTTACGTTTAGAGAGCCTCGTAGTTAGTCTCTTGTTATTATTTCTTTTCAGGTTCTTATTTTTTATTTTAACCGCCGGGTCGGCGTAGTTTGTGAGCGTCAAGAGCACGCATTTGTTATTTCTAAATTTGAATAAAAAGGGACTTAAACCCTTCGCAGGACTCTGTCTAATTTCCAGTTTCAGCTGTCACCACTTGGTTGCGTGCAGGTTGGAGGCGCGCAACTGTACAACCTGTTTCAAATTTGTGAAACTTTAACAAATTTCTGATTACCAAACTCAACGATTTCAAAGCGAGCGATGAAAACAAACAAACAAACAAACAAAACAAAAAAAAAAAAAAAAAAAAAAAAAAAAAAGCATATTAATCTCCAGCGCGCGAGACTGTGTATCAGAAATTCTAAAGATATGCTGTTTTGCTGTTTTTAAATATTTTGTGATATTGCTGTTGAACTGAATTGTATGGGGTTTAAGTGCAAAGAACACATTATTTAATAAATAAAGGTAACACACAAAACAACAAAAAAACGTCGTTTTGGGGGTAATATAAAATCTAAAAGCCTTCAGATTTTTTTAATACCGTTGATGTAATAATGCAACTTTTCTGCTTTTATTCTGCTTCTCTATAATCATATTTGTATGTTTCTATATTCTACAGCGAAAAAATGCTGTGTTGAAAAAGAGAAAATAGGAATTTTTGATAATTTTTTTTACGATAAATTAAATACGGATAAATTCACTTTCAACAGATTTTAACTGTTAAAAAGAGAAGCAGAACCATCAGAAAAAAAATGTGGGATGTTCTGCAGTACGTTTCTAAGTTTAAAATCTGTCTAAGCTGGAGACGTATGTTTGCTACTTTGGTTTTTGTTCCAAGGAATAAAACTTTTGAATAGAAATAAATATACATTATTGCTTCTAGTTTCCTTTATCAAGCTCCTCTATAGGCAGCATTCACATCAGTAGCAATTAATTTTATTTTTAATATGCACGAGACATTAAATTCAGTTTTAAATAACTTAAAATATGTGAATCAAATTAATTGTATTTAAGAACTATAGAAAAAATCTCAGAATTGGCTTAAAAAAATCTTTAAATTTTTAAATAAAAATTCAAGAAATTTTTTTTCGAGTCAAAATTTTTCACACACGCTAAGAACTTTCTAAGAACTAACCTGTTGCTAAAGCTTTTTCAATAGAAAGCTCGCATGTATTTCCCTATAAATAAAGGTAACGTCAGCTCTTAACTTTTATAAATACCGTCTACAAGCTGAGTTTAATAAAACAGCGCATGTTTGTGAAAGTTTCCAAAGTCAAACTGTATTAAAGACTAGAACGATGATGTTTAAAAACATTTAATTTTTAATTCATCAAGGTATACTTGATAAATATTTCAGTAACATCAACGTACTATATAACATTATTCCGTGATTAAATTGCAAGTTTTAATGTATACTTACTCTTTGTAAAGCACTGTAATATTTCTTTCATCAGCGGAATCGTATTCGACGATAGCACATCTGTCATCTTCGTTACAGATCTTTCTTGAGGGGTTCTGTAAAACAGAATGAAAACCATCACACATTTAATCCATTTTTCTAAATAAACTACGTCCTGAATTTATATGAAACTGAGGTCTAAAGTAGAGTTTCTTAAACTTCTTTCCTTCGCGACCCCTTTTTATCAGTGAGAGATTTTTCGCGACCCCCCAAGACCCCATAAGATTTAAAAAAATTTTGTGGGACCCCATAAGTTTTGCGCAAATCCGACACACGTGTGAGTGAAACTGTCAATTTTGTCACTTGTACTGTAATATACTATTGCAAGTTTAGGTCATTAACTTTAATTTCTAATTTTATGACATAGAACTATGCGAAAAGTTTAAATAAGTAACAGACGAAATGCCAGCGTTACGTGCAAAGCAAGGAAAATGAACTTTTATATTATAAAAAGAATGCGTCGAAACGTTTCCTTTTTTTTCTCTGTCTGTATTGTCTTATCTTGATCTAATTTAAGATATATTGTTTAAAAATATTTGGTAATTGTAAAATTATTATTATAATAAGTTAAAGAAATATCAAACCTGCTAAGAGATTTGGTGACCCCCTGCTGCAGGTCCCGCGAACCCCTTGGGGTCGCGACCCACAGTTTAAGAAACTCTGGTCTAAAGGAATATTTTATGAGGTTTCTTCTAATACTTGAATAGTTAAAAAGGAGTCTGAAGTAACACATTTTCCAAACTATTGAACAATCATGGAAAACTTGTTTCTTCAAACTCTCTGCAATGAGAATAAACCCACATATAATTACAATAACTTTTATTACACTGAACAGTTAATGTTGTTAAAGTTTTAATATGTTATGCACTGTTTTTGAAATCATAAGATAGACGGTAATTAAAAACTTTTGGGAAAATACATGTGTGTGTGTATTTAATTATGGCAAAGCACACTAGGGCTATCTGCCTAAGAGGAGGGATGCCTTCGTGGAGGATTTTCTAAGGGGAATTGGCTCGTATACACGTTACACATGGGGAAAACCACGAAAACACCCATGCAGCCAGCCCGTTCGCGGGATTCGAACCTCGGACCGAACTACCAGTGTTCAGCGACGTTACCGCTCGGTCGCTGGTGGGCCGAGGAAATACATGAAAGGGTTATAGAATGTACCTAAGGAAACACTTATCATCACTTAATGCATGGAGGTAACTATAATGCTGAAGCAATAGGTGATAGCTGCCACAAGAATGACAAGATATAGTTTTTAATAAACCTTATTAAATTTACTTCTTTTAAGTGCGAAGATGATAATTTGTCGGAAGCACAAGGAGGTTAAAGAGTCTTGCTAAAAAAAGTGCATTGTTAATAAAATTTTGAAATTTTTAGGAAAATAATTTATAAGGTATTTCTCTTGCTTTCTTCGCATGCCTTCGTAGTGTGGTGGCCTGCACGCTGGGCGTGTATTCCAGAGGTCCTCGTTTCGATTCCCGGCGAAGGCGTTGCACATTTTTCACCTCTCCTGCTTCCGAAATAAACCTAGTGACTCTATAAATTGATCGTTACATTTAATGCCTTTGCAATGTATAACAAAATGAAATTTTGAATGCAATACAAAATAATGTTACACTTACATTCAAGACGAATGGCGTGGATGTAGGGGTAGAAACCTCTACCTGTTTTACGAAGGAAGTGTCCTGCGCAATCACCACGTTACATAGAATGGTTACAGCTAAGATAAGCTTCATCATGAAATATCTGAAAAAGGCTACAAATATTAAAGAAGTATTGTAAGATTCGAGTTTTCATATATTTAAATAAATTTATGTGGCTACTGCGGTAGATTAATTAACCATTGAAAATGTGTGATATTCTATTTTCTGCGAGATATGTAGGCACCTCTTTATTTTAGTCCCGTAATGCAGATAAAGTTAAACGCGATAGTTTACACGAAATCAAAGATATACCTTATAATGATCCAATATCAACATCATCCTCTTTTTCTAAGAATTGGGCTGATTTTAGTCATCATCTTTGGCTGATCGCCTAGTTCCAACCTCTTATAGTATTCTCGTTTATTCTGCCAAGTGTTTTAGTTTTTGAAATAATTACGCTTTTAATTCTATTTTCCGTAACTAAAAACTCTTCTGTAATTTCTGTTACTCAGTTTCTTTCCTAAATACCTACAGATTTCAGAAATTTAAAAAAATTTAAAGAATTGAATTTAGCTTTTGCATTTCAAAAGACAATTAATTGTTACACATATTAAGTCCTTCAGGGCATGGTGTGACAATTGCAGGCTTAAGAGATCCTCAGCCCTCCAACATGACCAAGATATCAGAAATGACATCAACCTCAAATATGAGACTCTCAAAATTTCCAAAGAGCCTTACAACATTCTTGCCCTCTTCCCCAAACTAAAATTTACTTAAATCTCTTACAGCCTTGTACCAAGAAAGATCCCACCGCAATAATCAAAGAAAAGGGTGAAAATACCATTGAGGAACTCACGACCTTAACTCAAGATCTGACGATCGCCTACACAGACGGCTCTTCCGACTCCAATCTGAACAGAGGAGGAGCGGGAATCTTTTTCATCGGACCAGACGGAGTGCAGAAATGCCACAGTATTCCTGTTGGGAAAATCGCCTCCAACTATACATGAGAGCTCGTCGCCATCAAAAGTGCTCTGGAGATTTATCTCTCTAAAGAAGACCAGAGTTCCAAGGGCATCATCATCTTGTCTGACTACTAATCAGCATTGCAAGCGATCCAGAAGGGCAAATGTCAACTCAGTCATCAGATCATTGAGCTCACAAACAAAATCATTGCTGCCCAAAGATCCTGCATCTTACAATGGATACCGGCTCCTGTAAATATTTTTGGTAATGAGAAGGCCGATGAGCTTGCAAAGGCATCCCGTGATTCTCCTCTGCCATCCAACTGCCTAACCCTCGTTTATGCCAATGCAGTTGCCAGCCAAAGACTAATCGGTTAAGTTAAGAGAAACTCCATCCCGGAATTGAACTGTGACAAAGCCATATCGACTATCATAACCAGACTTAGGACAAATCACTTAAAAGGGATGAGGATTTCTGCAGACGGACAGCGTAGTTACACCAACATTTGTCCAGATGACATCCCACTGTCTCGCCATCACATCTTCAGCTGCCCAGCAAACCAGGCCAGACTGTTTAACATCGGCATTGAAGACCCAGTGGATCTACTTTATACTGATAGAGCTGCCGACTTTGCAAAAGCTGTCTTTGACAGCTTCGGAGCTATGTAATTCCACTTTGTCATAGACACGACATCATCATCATCATCACATATTAAAGTTAACCTCTTAAGAGTGTTGACTAATTTTAGGTTAGCAAATTTTGCGTCCTGCCAAAGTACTAAATATTGCTACGGTTTTTGTATTTAGTTTGCTATTTTTAGTAGAATTGTAGTGAAATTGTTTCATTTCTCCGTGCAATGCTGCGCGCGACGAGTTTTAAGAGAAGCTATGCCAAAAAAGTAAAAATACAGGAGCTAGCGCATTTAACATTTACTAATAAATAAATATCTCGTAATTGTACTCTTTTCTTTCCAGAAACCTCGAGAAAGTACCAGAATGTTCTCGTGCATGATTAAAAAGCTTATAAAAGCCGGAGGAAAACTTCTTAGTGTAGTTGTTTACTTGCTGTTGCTGATTGTAGCGAATTCGCGATGAAATCGGATTAGCTTTCTCTGTTTTTGGATTGCATTCTATTTAACTTTTTAATAATCCAAAATATAACTATTGTGAGATATTGTGATATTGTAAAAATACCTCTGAGGAAATATTTTAGCATTTTGTTTTATTTCTTGTGATAAGAATAAATTTTATTGACTTTTTATCGGACTTGTGCATTCAATTTATTACGAACCCGTACGCACGCAACAATATTGCAGTGTGAGGAAAATTTTGTTTCAAGCATCAGGAAAAGTAAAATAAATACACAACTATACATTAAACAATTACGTTTTACAAAGAAATATTATCACGGAAAATTTGTTTCTCTTTTTCTGCCATTTGCCTTCACCATTTGGAATACCTGATTTTAAGCACACAATTTTGGGATTTCCATCTCGAAAAAACCTTATAATTTTTATACTTTTAATTTTTTAATATTATAAGGTTTCAAAACTCAAGCTCCAGATATTAGTTTGTAATTTGAAGTTTCGTATTACAATTTTTAAGTTAAATTTAGGAGATAGAAGCTTTCGACCAATATTTAACCTGAATATTTTCTCTTAGTTTTCTTCTCTTTTTACTATGAAAAGTCTGGATTCATAAATATACTAATAGTACTGATTAGTAATATAGTACTTCTTTTAAAGACTGCGTTTTAATTTAAAATATGTTCTAAATTGTCCATAAACTGTTGACTGTATTCATATAAATATTAAAAAAACTTTGTTTTCAATAAGTATGTTTTCTTATTTATTAAGTCTGAATTTTCTTTTATTGCTACACATTTTACTTTTCTATAATTTTCTTTGACGAAATGTGTAAAAGCAGTCTTTTAAAATATAAAGAAATAGAAATTTTAAATGCTTTACAATCAGCCATTAAAGTCATTTTTCTCAAACAAAGTTTTTTAAACTGGTAATTACAATATTTTGAAAATTAATGGAACAACATTTTCAGAAAAATCTTACTCAGTTCATTATCCGTGTTTTCGATTTTTAATTGTATCATAATGATCCATTCATTATTTATTTTTATCTACTGGAAGCTGGAAAGTTATTTTATTTTTATTGACAGAATTTTTTACTAATAACAGAATTTTAATTTTTTACTCTTTTTACTTATTGTTTACTTTACTTATTTAAAAAATTAAAGTTAATTTGAAAGATTAAAAAAACGTTATTTATTATTAAAAGATTAAAGTGATACTGCTAATAATAATAATCTATTTTAAGTTTTTGCTTAATATCTTACATAGGTCCTGCAATCATAGCGCCTTCGTATTTATTATTCATCAAGCTTAAATTTGAAGAATACAAAATTAGTAGTTTTAACATTTTAAAATAAAATTTAAAATGAAACAAATGTTAAAATTTAATAAAAATATAAAAATTCATATTTTGTGTTTTTTGTTTTTATGAGAAAAATTATTGAAATTACCTTTTATTAAGTAATTTGTATGGTTTTGAGTTTCGTAAAAGTGTCAAATAATTAGTTTTATATTTATAACTTCCGTATAATGTAGAAAATTTCACTTATTTTTTTTTTATTTTATTGCATCATTGTAATGGATATGGGGGGAAAAACTCTGCTTTAAAATATAGGAAACTCTATCCCTTTACTTAAACTATCTTGTTTAATTTCTACCATAAAAGTACTGAAATTCCTTAGTTTTGAATATAGTTTGGCGACATAAGCTCGGACGATATGCAGATGTGTTTTAACTAAATTGCGTAATAGAGAAAAATTGTTAATCTTCTAAATAATGAAAAAAATAATTATAAATGTTTCGAATACTTTTCTTCTGAAATTAGAGTGGTCTAATATTTTTTTCTTGAATTAATTTCACGAAATGCACTGTTTATAAAATTCGATTTACTTTTTGTGTTCATTCCCTTCATATTGCACGGCAGATAATTTATTTTAAATAAATGCATTTAATAAGAAATAAGTTGAATTTAAACTTTCCTCTTGTATTAGTTTAGAAGATGGTTTACTGAAAATGGCTGTGAGTTGAATTACGTGCATTAGCTACATGAAAAATAAAAATTATATTAATATATGTACTGTAAAAACCATAAATGTATCATAAAAATAAGTAAGAACGTGTGTTTTTTTCTACCTCATGTGTACGATTATATAATATGAAGTGTATCAAGATCTGGTATGTGGCATTATATCATGCATATTCGTGAGATTTTTTATGTAAATGACCGTTTCTAAACTTTATGTGACTTTTAAGATTCCAAGTTTCTGCTTTTATAGAAAAATTTCAGCTACCTAAATTAACGGTGATGTATTATATTTCAGAGAAATCGAATTTTATTGGAATTCGAGGCAAAAATTGTTCATATATGCTTTCTAAATTTCATGGTTATAATAAGCAAACAGCGAAGATTACTAATGTAAAGTATACAGGCAAAAACTTATAACTGTGTAATCAAAACAGGTGAAACCAAAACCAAAACAATAAGTAAAATATAAATTACATAACTCCATTTAACGCTTCATTTTATCTTCTTATTATTTTATGGAGCAACAATGAAAGATTTATAGAAATTGGGAAAGGTATTGTAATCTAAAAAGAATATTAATTTGGTATGTAACCTTCTTTTAATAATGAAGTGAACGAAACAGAAATTAATGTATGTTTAGATGATTTAAAATTAGAAACAATAAAGATAAAAAATTATAAAAAGAGATCATAAAAAGGAAATTATTATTTATCAAACATATTTCATTAATTTACAAATGAATTTCATTTGAAAAATATTCGGATATCTTACAAAGTGTAAAAGAAAAAAAAATTACAGATTTATTGCTAGAATATTTAAAAAAATTCAAATGCAAATTTATATATACCTGCAGATTAATTGCGAAAATATAATATTTAATGCAATTGAACCTTTACTGATTATGCTGTAATAAACATTAATGAATTTATAGTTCATTTTTGGCAATCGATTCCTTAGACAAGTTTATTAAAATCTACAGGTTAAAGATCCGAATAAACTTATTGACTACGAAGCGGGCGCTTGAGTCAAATATAATTTTCTTTTCCAGGCAACTTTAAAAAATCTTAGACTGGTCTTAGACTTATTTCAAATTTCTTAGACTTATTTCAAATGAATTCTTGAATTTCAAATGAAATGGCTGCTCAATTTCAAAAAGACAACAGAAAGGTTTTAGGTATTTCTGTTGTCCTTTTGAGCATGCCCTGAAATTTACATCTTATTTATTAAGTCTTGAAGTATTTTTAAATATTTTTGAAGTATTTTTAAACACTTTATATTTAAAATTAAATAGTGTATAAAGATATTATAATATAATTTCGGAATTCATGATAGTTCTTTTATGCTCGTAGTTGATTTTTCTTCGTAACTATTAAAAGAGGGAAGTCATGAATGTTTTAGAATACAAATAACATAAGAAGGTGCAATCGGAAATGAGAAACAAAATACATATCTGCAAAGTCAAATCTTCTTTTCAGAATATAAAACTTCCTTGCATTAAATAGAACCTGCATGATAGTATTACATAATTATTAGATAAATTGAGATTTATGAAAGGCGAACCAAACCAAGCATTAGAAATATGAACAGATTGAAACGCTTTCTAAACTAAGAACTGGATATTGTATTCTCTTTGTGATAAGTAGAGTTATCTAAATTACAGATGTGAATGAAATAAAATCAGCATTTAGTGAAAGGATACTTTTAATATAACTAATTACGATAGCGAAGAGAAATAGTAAAGATTTGTTTTCAACTTACAAAGATTAACGAAATTTCTGTGGTCAGTCTCCTACGCAGGGTGATTTCGATTCTACAGGATCTTGTAGAGTTTTATAACTTACACCGAAATTTTGACACGTGTCCTTATACAGATTAACGATGGTGTGTAATATCAGGGGATCTTTGTAACTAATCACAAAACGCCAAGTTTTAAATCGAAGCAGAAACAATCCATATGGGAAGCAGATGGTCTTTGTACATTGTTATGAGCAATTAGAGTGACAAATAAACTGACACACCAATTGCCTATCGAAAAAAAAAATCTAGATATTACATCACAAATATTTTCTTTATATGAAGTAGCCACACAGGTGTGATCATTTAAATACTGTACAATTAAAAAAATTAAGCGTAGATTAGCTTTTGAACAATACCGGAATTAAAAGAATATGTAACCAGAATTGTCTAATAGAATTTGCAGAGTCTCACCTTCTTGGGAAGCTTACGCTCAATCGAGACTCTTGATGGATCCAATCGACTTATCGCTACGTCCAGCAAGAAAATAGAGAACATAGGAAGGGTGTAAAACACACTTTTTATAAAGAACTCCAATAATTTAACAGAAGGCAGTTCTTGTGCTTATAAAAGCAACCAGTATTTATAGCGTAACTCAAAAGTAATAAATTTCAAATTAAACTAAATTTAAATCTTAAGTTATAAGGTATTTCTCCCGCCTTCTTCGCCTGCCTTCGTGGTGTGGTGGTCTGCACGCTGGGCGCGTATTCCAGAGGTCCGCGTTTCGACTCCCGGCGAAACCGTTGCTAATATTTCATGACTCCTGCTTCTAATTAACCTAATGTCTCTACAGTGGCGCCCGAACTAAAAGGGTGTTGGAGGATGATTCTCCACACCCAGGATTTTGCAATTGGGTCCCCTGAAACCTCAGTCGCCCTTTAAAAGGGGGAGTATATAAGGTATTCCTCCCGCCTTCCTAGCGTGCCTTCGTGGTGTAGTGGTTCTGCACGCTGGGCCGGTATCCCATTTGTTCATTGCTATGAGCTGTAGAAATGCACAAATTCTTATATTTCTCTTGCCATTTGAAAATATATCGTCTGGCTTCATGATCTTTCTTCAAAATTTCTTTAACTGATTTTCATTGTTGGAAGGAAGCAGATTATTCTTCTGTATTTTGGTATTTTGAAAGGTAAATTATAATTTGTTGCTTTCTGGTGATATGATCCAAATCATAACGAAAACGAAAATTTATTAAGAAATTTTAGGAAAATGTGGGAGATAGATTTGTTTACCAGTCTTCTCTGAATTTTTAAAAAAAAAATGTTATTAGCCCAAAGAAAGGCTAACATAGAACGGCATTTAGTCTCGAAATGGCTTTTTGCGTCGAATCACTAAAAGCGTTGAATCACTTTTCAAATTGTTGCCGCCAAATATTATATCGTCTTGTATTATATTTAAAGAAATTAAATAACAACGAATTTGCATAAACGTATGTATGTTTCTCGCACTGTGGAAAAACGACGGTACTTAGAGGCATCAAAATTTGAATAATGTATTCATTTACCCGAATATGCATATTTTGTTAAAATTTAACAAATATTTGAAAAACTAGAGATTTCAAAGCCAGCAGTGGCAAGTTCAAAGGGGCGTCAGTCCAAATGTTCTCGAAATGTGTATGTGTGTGTAAATAAAAAAAAATGCCCTTTTGGGGGTAATATCAAATCTGAAAGCTTTCAGATTTTTTTAAACTTTTATCTTATTATTCGTCTTTATGATCCAGTTTCTAAAATGCATTGCTTTAGAGATTATTAATTTCAGTGTGTGTTTCAATATTCTAAGAGCTTATTCTATGTTTTCTCTATGTTTCTTTTGCCTATGAAGTGATTAATTTTTTATTTTACTTTTTATGATAACTTTTGAACTTCCTACGCTGCGCGAATTGTTTTAATCAATGTAACGGTTCTTCAGTAAAATATTCCCTGTGTAAGATGTGTTCAAGAGCATCTTTCCATAGTCCTTACCAGAAACGAAAATTAGTTGTTTGACTATTTAAGTCGAGGATTTTGAATGCTTTTAGTGTTAGAGCTTTAGCAGCCTTAATTGCAGTTTACGCAATATCGCCAGCTCTGCCAGAGATGACTCCAGTTTTAGCCATTTTGCTAGCTGACGTTAAAAACACGCCGTTAAAATAATTAATCTAGCTTAAGTAAACCATTTTGTATGAACTATGACTAATTACTTGAATTTGAATTGAAACTTGTGTTATTTCAAATACTCGCAAGTGGCGAAGTTTTGTTAATACGCACAGGTGGTTCCTTCTATTTAATTTAAAGATTTAACATAAAGGTTATTTTAGCCTTCGTCTGCATCTTATAATATTATTAGAACAATTAGGAGTACTGTTATTGACACTATTACTGGCCTTAAATTTACTGTACTACGTTGTATTGCGTGTGCGCACTTTGAGGAGTACTAAATGCACTGTTAGGAGTACTATGATGGAATGTTGCTCCATGTGTGCACTGCAAAATTAGTTTTCCAATATATAATTGATAATGAAATGTTTTGTCTAAATCATTATCTTAATATTTATTTTATTGTTAGATTAGGTTAGGTTATTTAATTACGACAAAGCCTCGAGGGAGGTGTAACAGCTTTAAATATTTTTAAAATCTTGTAGTTTAAATAATTTAAATAAATGAACATTAAGGTATTTATGAATGGGAATATTTGAAACCAGACTCGAGTGCCCCGTGCGACTCTCGCACGAAGAATGTAATTTATTTTTTAAATGTTAGAATTCGTTTTTCTTCTTGTTTTGTATGTCGCTATTTTGTGTGCTAAATAAAGTTTTTTCTGTATTTCATCATTGGAGTTGCTTCATATTGCCAAAGAAGTATCACAGAGGGGAGGGACGCCTTCGTGGAGGACTTTAAGAGGAACTGGCTCGTATACACGTTACACACGGGGAAAAACACGAAAACACCCATGCAGCCAGCCCGTTCGCGGGATTCGAACCTCGGACCGAACTACCAGTGTTCAGCGACTTTACCGCTCGACCGCTGGTGGGCCTTTAGTGTAATGTATTGTATGCAGTATTATTGCTGACAGTCAAATAGTGTACAATATAGATAGCGACACCTATTAATGGAAAAATAAGTGAAAATTGTGTCTTACCTCTTATTAGCATTACTATTGTTTGCATCTTAAAATATAATTAGAGCATTTAGGAACATTTTTATTAGCACTATTATTTGTCATAAAATTGTAGTGATCTGCACTACGAGTGTACTTTCAGGAGTACTATGTGCTCTGTCAAGGGTACTATGGTGGAGTGTTGCATGATGTGTGCACTGCATAATTAGTATTATAATGTATTATACGTAATTGTATAATTGGTAATGTTTGTATTATATGATTCAGTTTCCTAACATACGGTGTAAAGTCTATGTGTGCACTGCATAATTAGTATTGTAAATGTATAATTGGTAATGTAGGAATTGCATTAATCGGTATTGTAATGTATAGTGAGTGCACCGCTGCAAAATTAGTTTTGAAATGCATTGTAATCGCATAATTAGTAATGTAACGTATTGTAATAATCAGTATCATAATATATAGTATAATACATTGTAAACAGCATATAGCAGAAAGTCAAAATAGTGCACAAAGTGCAGCGATGCGTGCAAGTAGAAATACAAGTAGAAACCGTGTTTTACATTTTTTTGGGGCATTTCTGTTGTTTGCATGTCATAATATAACTAGAGCATTCAGGAGTACTATTAATAGTACTATTACCGGTTTGGGTACTGTACTGAGATGCACTGCGTGCATACTTTCAGGAGTACTATGTGCACTATCAGGATGACTATGGAGGAATGTTACACTATGTGTGCACTGTATAACTAGCACAGTAATGTACTGTGGTTGTATAATTAGTAACGTAACGTATTGTACAAATTAGTATCGTAATTTATCATGTAAAGTATTGTAAACAGTAATATAGCAAATAGTTAAAACAGCTTACAATGTAAGCAGTGATGCGAGCAATGGAAATAGTGAAAAATGTGTTTTACCTATCATTAGTATCATTAGTATCATTATTGTCTGCATCTTGTTATATAATTAGAGCTATCAGGTATACTATTAGTTATACCACTACTTGTTGTAACACTGTACTGAGCTGCACAGTGTGAGCACTACCAGGAGTACTACTCACAGTACTATTCTGGCCTTAAAATTGCACTGTGTTGCACTGTGAGCGTGCTATATATTAACACCATATTGTCACAATGTATACTGTAATTAGCACTATTATTTGCTATATAGCAAGCCTCCAGCTTCAGTAATGTATATAACAATAGCGTCTGAACCATGTAATTGTTCCTAGTTTATTACAATGTTCAGTATTGTTTGCACTGTGTATTAATTTTAGAATTATTAGAAATACTAATATTGATATCATTATTGGTATTATAATAGTACTGTATAGCACTGTATGTACAGAAAATATTAATATGAGCACTACTGTGGCACTCATACCACTATTGGCACTTATATTTCTGACTATGTATGCCATTATCGGTTATATCAAGTTATAACACGTTTACTCTTCATGTATACATATAATGTAAATCATTATCGGGGTTATTATTGATGCTATTATTTTGTAGTATAATTAAGCGTACTCAGAATACATAAAGCATTGTCCTGTACTCAGAATAACTAAAATGTACTCAACGTACTTAAACATCAAATATCACTGTATTTTCAATATTCTCAGAATTTCCAATTTTCAGTATTTTCAATTTTTAAACTATTTCGGTACTACTAATCACTCTGTTGTATTTTCAGTATTTATCAATAATCAGTATAGAATGTACTCTAGTATGTAAGTATTACAGTATTTATGCATTTTTCTGCATGCATTTATATCCCAGAGTAATTTGATTATTAATTTAGTATTATTTGAATGTATATTTGAATGTAAAAGTAGCATGTTACAAATGCCCTTGTATAGGCATTTCTTATATTTTTCTTTGATATCAATAAATACTGGGGTATGGACCGTTGGATAACAGCGAACCCCATCGGCTGTTCTGGATAATGGTGGATGTGGTGCTGTACTG